ACAGGACTAGTATGTAACAAGTAAATCACGTGAGTTGAATTCAGCTTGTGGCATATTTTTTACAAATGTATCCAGTTCAAAAGATCTTTTGTTTACAGTTACTGTAATAATTACATTTACTGTTACTCACATTTAGACCTTTTAACTTTTTAAGAATAAGAATCAAAAACGGTGAAAATGTCACATTTATGTGAATGCTGCACAGGCCTATGGAGACCTACACAGAGCTGTAATGGAGGTGAAAGCAATGTGCCCCCCCCAACAAAACTAAAACCTAAAAAGCAGTTTGTCAAAGGTGGAAGTCTGGGAAGTGCTGCTGGTATTGAGCACCTGCAGGGCACAGTGCAAGTCTGTGGGGAGTCAACTTTGGCACTCAGTCAACTACATACGATACCCCTACTAAAGGACATTTCACTTTAGGATGCTGCTAGCTCAGAAGAAAAATGACATATTTTGTTTCACCTAAGGATTTTTTTTAAACCAGGAAACACAAGATTTATGCAATAAATCCCCAAGCACCTGAGTCACTGAATCAGTAGCAAGCAGGCTCACTCAGTGTTTTCCTCTTTCTGTCCTACAGCACACTCCCCAGAACCAAACAGCACACAGCTGCTCTCTCCTCTCACTCCCAGCTCTTTAGATACTTCAAGCGTGAAGCTGCAACAATTACATTTGCAAGGGGCTTTCTTTTTCCACCAGCTTTCTAAATTAAAACACGCATTGTGCAATCACTCTTTTCTCCTTTCAGCTTCTCCATAACTAGGCCTTTTTATTCTCCACAAAGCTCCACAGACTCATTTGCTAGAGCTGTAACATTAAAAAATAAAAAAAAAAGGTTTTGCTTCATATAAACATATTCAGAGGTATCTACAGTGAAATTACTTCAATCTTTGTACAGTTTGTGCTCCCCACTTTTTTAAAAAAAAAAGACCAGAGATGGTCAGGATTCTTTGTTTGAACCTACTAAATTCAACACATCCACAGTATTGCAACTACAGCTTTATCACATCTTTGCCTTTTTTAATCAGAATGGGGAGCCTGACAAAATCCAAAGGCTAGTTTTAAGGATACCACACTGAAACGCAGCACGCAGCATTCTTAAAAAGAGCGAACTCTGAAGAGACTAAAAGCACTTTTCCCTATAACCCACCTGCTTAACTAAATGGCAATCATGACAAACACATGACTTGCAGGAGAACAAGAGGGCCTCCAGAAACAACTACAACTATGTAGTATCCCATTTTTCCCCAACCTGACATACTGTAGTATCTCTTTTTTATGCGACTATGTTTGTGTGGGGTCACACCTTTCTATGAATGTGGTCTTACTTGGCACAGTTATGGTTTCTGCCGGTAATCTGAGTGCTCAAGAAAGGCTGCTTAAATGGATTAAATTTTGATTAATCAAAGGCATGATATGCACTAAATAACTGCATTGCTAAAGCCACAGTCATTTTCACTTATGACTTGTGCCAAATGTGCAAGACACAACAAAGGATTTCACACCAGAGTGGCTTGTGCACCTTCATGTTAAGAACCAAGTGTCCACCCTGTCACAGACAACTGATACTACCCACAGCAGTGGAACGAATCAGTCACGTACTTGGTTGCAAGTAAAAGTTTCTACACAATCAGCACAGAATTGGTTTGACTAACTGTTAAAGGGCAGGGAAGTTAAAAGCTATTCTCCACTTCCCAAAAAAAGGCTTTTAAAATAGCAAAAAGCAAACAGCTAACTATATATGTATTTCATTAGCATTTTTATCCTACAAAAAATGACGTCTCAGGAAAAAGCAATGGCTGAAAAATGAAGGGCAGTAGCTTCAAGTGCATGGGCAGAACGGGGTGGTCATTTATTACACAGATATCAAAAGGTATGTCAGCTATATGGTTCACAGCAGAAAATGGAATGGGTAAAGAAGAAGACCAATAACTTATCCAAGATTCTCATCTCTGTGATGTGAATCCTTCATTATAACACATAATACTCAATCAGCTCCATCCAGAGATGGAAAAATGTCTTGCGACAGAAAATAAACTGCAGACCCAGTACATAATTAGAATAAGCCCCATACCTCTTGTACCAAACTGGGTATTCACGCATTCCAGGGCAGAGATGAATACAGTGAACAGGGATGCAGCAAGTGTTCCTTCTCTTTCATTCCTTTCCCTGCCACAGGCCCGAGGAAAGTGATTTGTTTAAAAGCGATGGGTTTATAGGTTAGCTGACACCTCCATTCCTAGGAATTTTAATTAACTTCTCCCATCGTCAATATGTTAAAAGAAGCAGTTCCATTATCTGGGGGCAGCAGTCTGTTTCAGGGCTTGCTATTTCAGCCATCAAATTGGAGAATTAATGACGTGGATAATCGTCTCTAATTCCAAAATTTGCATTGAAGAGAGTCTGAAGGGAAAGGGGGCACCGGGGCTTAATAAATCGGCTGAGCGGATAAAAAAAGCCCCAAACCTTAAATGGCCAGGTATTGGTGATCGAAAATCCAGGTTAAGTGTCAGTGAGGCCAGAGGAGATGGGTAATAAGGGCTGTTTTTGTCCTGTAGGAAAATAAGTATTTATGTCTTGATGTATAAGGCATTATGTCAGGCAGGAGAGGTATCCCAACACGCATGCGTTAGCACATGAAGGGTGTTACATGCCAGCACATATGTGGATGTCAACATGCCTGAGAAATCAAAACCTCAGCTCCACTTCCAGTCCAGCTGGATTTTAGGTCACTTTCATTTCCTGAATACATCGTACAGTACTGTATTTTGTATCACTTCATTGAGATATCCATCTTAGTATAATTTTATTACACATGATTAAAAAAAAGAATTTAAACAAAAGAGCTACTCATGTGAACTAAATTATCTGTAGCTGATAACTACAAAGAAGATTACATTTTAAATGGCTTATGTAAAAGGATTCAGCAAGTACCTGGAAGACTTTAGAAACTCCTGTCTAATCTGGATAGGGAAAATAAGTAACTGTCGACTACCTGCTAGCGTATCATACTTCACTCTCCATTCACTGTCCATGGTGGAATTAAGGATTGCCCAGTGTTAGGTTTCTCTTCAGAGCCAAGAAACCAAATTCTACCACTTACCCTGGACAGATCAACCTCAAGATCTCAATGCTTTTTAACCTCAGGAACCAGTGGAACATGCAGCTCAATTCTACACATCATTTACCTTCATCGGAACATCAGAAGACCCATCCTGCTGCATGAACTATGCAATACAATGTCCTGGTCAAGCTGTTCTCACTACTCACAGAAGCTTGACATTTTTTGGTAACTGTTCCTGAACCTTCAGCCAGGCACATTCTTGCTGTCAATAGGACTGAAATAACCATTGGTGTTCTATGAAACAAAAATGTATTGCCACTCTATTGCCAGTTCATCTGTTACACCATGGACAGAGCATGACCCACCTTTCTGCATTCAAAAAAGAACTGATTTTGTTCTCCTTTGAAGTCTTCTTCAGCTTTCTCTTATGAATGTTAGTAATTAAGTCTCCCCATAGATTTTGTAAAAGGAACTCACTGTACTGTGACAGAACTACCAAGACACCTCTTTGAAGACAAGTCAGTCATTAGGCTCATGCATAGTATCCAGAGGTTCACTAGACTTCATTCAGGTTACCCCAGAAACTCGTTTATATATCTTGCAAAAGGCATGCTTGATGCAACAATACTGACTTTTTTTTAAAAAACCGAGCTTGCTTTGATAGAAATATTTGTGCAAACATGAACTTAGAGTTTCCATTGAAGAGTTTACTTGCTTGCCCACCACAAAGCAGATAGTTCATTGCCATGTGTTCAACAGTCCGCAGAAACACTTAATCTTCAGCAATATCAGATTACAATATTCCTTTCTAGAAAGACACCAAGAGTGGAAGAAATTAATTCTGTGACACAATGCTCATTACAGTCATTTTCCCTATGTGAGTGGTGGCACCAATCAAGACTGAAGCTAAGTGTTAGAGCACCTGTTGTAAACACATCTTCCCCAGGACACAAACATATTGAAAGCATGGCTACAGGGTTTTATCAGGCACATTGCCAGGTATATGATGGCTGTCATGGGGCTAAAAATCACAGAAACCTTTTCTGGGAGGCAGATTGACCCATGTGTTTCTGTTCATGCTTGATTAAGAGCTCTGCCAGCAAGTGTTTTTTACAGCTAGCCAAATAAGTTAAATCAATACAAAGGCAACAGTAAATCAGAGTTAATCTGTATGTTTTACAACATAGAGGCACTGAAGAAAAATAACAAAAGGCGATTGTGTTCGCTGTGTAAGCACAGAGAAACGGTATCACATTCGCCACTACCTGCATTAAAAAAGCACTATTTGACCCCACAGTCAAGTACGGCAGTAAATTGAGGACTCCCTAGTACAGATCTGGCCACCTGTGTTGGTATCCAGTGACTCTGCACTTTTCTGGGCATTTCCTCTCTGCATCTGTAGCAAGACTGTCATGATTTAAACCATCAGGCCTTTTGATAAGGTAGGTAAATGCAAGTTTTTAAACAGATTTTATTTGCATGACCAAAACATTTTGCATAGCAAAGCAATGTTGAGTCATTTTATTCACATAAGTCTTTTGGGATCTCCAGTAGCAAATGTTCCAAAACCAGCACTTCCATTGAAATAGAAAGTTAAACACGTCTCACACTTTACTTATTCAAGAAGCACTAATCACTTACAATACTTCATATTGACTTTTTCACCAGAGGAAATAAGGCCTCTAATTAACATATTGGGAGAAATGCCTCAGAGATTAAGAATCCATCAAAGCTAGGTCAGACACTTCCTACATTTATTAAAAATAAACTTTTACATGCCTACACTTTTAACAAGAGTGTACTCAAAAAATTTTTTAAGAACAATAAATGCCCTTCATCTTACCAATAAACATCTGTTCCGATTTAAATTATTTCTTTGCACAGTTGACCTGAAAACAAATCCACCCAGAAAATAAGAAATGAACACATCCCCTACCTTTGTGAAGGACTGATCGCTACAGACCACACCCGGTCAAGGGTGGGAATTGTGTGTAAACACTCTCCAAGCCTGTTTGATGACAATGACCAAACCTAATGGAGAGGAAAAAAAAACATTTGCAGCTCAACTAATAATTTTCACTCCTCTGTTTAATATGTTAGGAGGGGTTAAACAGGTATTAACAGGACCACAAGTTTCACATCAGGAAACATAGTTTAATTATCCTAAATGAGATTGCATTCCCGTCTTTAAATGAAAAAACACTACGCTATCAAAATGGAATGGTAAACCAAATTATTGAATAGACCATTACTGCAAATAAAAATAAGTCTGACATGATATTTTGTACAGGTATGAAGAACAAGAAAACTGATACTTAATTTATTCAGTTTCTGGTAAAGTAAGATACCTGGACATTACACAGGCAAACAACTGACTTTAACTGTCAACGTTATGAAAAGCAATGGTTTTAAATCGTTAAAATTACTTCCCAGGTGAGAGACTCATGAACCACACTGACAGTATACAGGATGCATAACTGAAGAATTGATCCAGAATCAGAACCACAGAATACATTCTGTTGCTACAGGCCGGACCTACCCGAGCAGTTCTGTCTCTGGAACCACTGACAATGACTCCACCCCTGCTGTCGACACAGTTCACCTCCTGGTTGTGAGCACAGTACTCCACGCTGAAAGAGCTTCTTCTCTGATGGAGAATGATCTTTCCATCCCTAACAAAAAAAAAAGATTGTTTGATTTTCAGCTTTGTTAATGGAAAACATCAAATTGAAAACCGAAGCACTATGTGATAGTTCTTCAGAGTTGAAACCTAAAGCTGTCATTGACACGAGAAAACCCCAAGCAATACCCAGCTTGACAGCCAGAGTGAGACTTAGAGCACAAGAGAAGGAGTCACGTGATTTAGTCTGTCCCACCATCTTGCTTCCTGTGTTGTCTTGGAAACAGCAGTGAAACAGCGGACCATGTTTTGCTGTGGCTACACACTAAAACTGTTCCCAGGCACATATTAGATTAAACACCTTGGAAACATTAGAAAATCACTTGCAGCTGCCAATGATAAGCTAGACGAGAGTACCAGAGCAACCAGATTACTTAGGAAGGTGGCTCTGTTAATGTTATTAACACCTTTTTTATACTGACTGTTAAAGTTATGTTTTACAGCACAATGGCTGTAGTAATAATGAAAACACACTCACAAAAAGTTTCTAGTATTGCTGGATCAGCCAGCTTTTAAGAAGCAGGTGTGTCGTAGGCAGCTTCAATGCATTTGAAGAAATCTAAAAAGAAACAGTAATCCAATGTGCAATTCAACAGTAAAAGGGCACTAGCATTCAATAAAAATGGAATGCAGCCTTCACGTCAAGATTAAATTGAGTGATCAGAAGTATATTTCATATCTTCTGTAGATAAGGAGGTCGTAGGTAGGATCTTGGCCTTCCTGATAGTAGAGGAGGGGAACTAAGTACAGGAATTAAAAGCATGATTAAAATTCTCATCATTGTCAGTGCATGAGCAAACATGATGAGGCAACAGCATTTTTGAATAATTTCAATTTCAGAAGCACTCTCTGGTGAAAGACACGATAACTTCATTCTTAATGACGAGTTTCAAAGTTTGCTGATGGACAGCAAAAACTGCGAGCTGTCAGCTTGAAGCTGGATGTTGACAACAAAAACACATTCATGAAAAAACAAACTATTATCTCTTGTCATTTGGGGAAATGGTGTGGCTGGAGACTGAAACAGCAGAGAGGAGCTAACAGCTGTTCAATTAAGTAACATACAAAGTGACAGTCTTCTGAAACAATTTGCACAATCAGAAGACAGTACCCTCCAGCACTGATAAGGTGCGAGTCGGTAAGGACAAATCTGCACACGTCCTCCTGGTGTCCAGAGAACACAGCCAAGGGTTTCCGCTGAAGTCCCCCTCCATCTGCTCGTAGCTGGTACGCTCCGATATCAGCGGCCTGCGACAGATACAGCACACTGCTGTCTAGCTGTAGCCATGGCAACAAGCTAAGAAGGAACACAACCATAGAATGGAAGTTACAGACATACCACATTTTTTTTTGTTAACAAATGTGTCTAAGTATAACAAGGTGTTTCTCTACACATCTATTAAACATCAGTTCTTGTGCTCTTTCTGCTCATTTAAAACACATTTAAATCCACTTATGAAACTAATAAGTGTATTATGCAGAAACACTGCTTATACAGCTTTGGATGACTGGCAGAACATTTTGGGAAACACAAGAAAGTTTTAACTTTGAACTGATTATTGATGATGGCCACAGAAAACACAACTTGATTCTTATGGACGATTACACTACTACAAATATACAGTTTTTCCCGACAACAACAATGAACTATTATTCATTCTACCAGCTGTGCTGTAAATAACAAATAAAAGCCCATTATCATCTCCGTAGAAACATTTTTCAACTAGTTTCACACCACTATGGTCACAGTGATTTGGGAAAACGGAAAAAGGACAAAGGTAAATGCCATAAATAAGTAAATGACTGAGGTCAGGAAAAATGATGACGGGGGGGGGGACAAGTACAGCTTATACATACATCTACCATTACTCTAACAAGTGCCTGAGATCATATCCACCCGTAAACTGGATCAGCTTTAACCTGCTCCGACCACTTAACTGTGTCGACTCACTTGAACTTCCACTTCAGGACAGTCTCCCTGCGGCATCGCCCTCTACACCAATTCTGAGAGACCTTCACTCTGTCCTTTAGGGGGATTCTGGGAAACCTGAAAAAAACAACAACTTTTACACTAAAACTGTCACGTCAAATTTCATAGTATGAATTGTGTTTTCAGATGTTTAAGCTATAAATCCCTATAACAGATAATTAGAAATTATGAAACCACTGTAAACTATTGTCATTTATACAAGACAGAACAATTCATAGTTCTGGGTCACTAATACTTATATATTATTAAACTTAATACTGTTTTGCCAATAATTTTTGCCCTTTAAATAGTTTCCAATCACATTCCACTTGATAAACAATTAAACTCAATAACATTTTTGTATTCCCCTCAGTTTGGAACCACAAGATGTTTTAAGAACTGATTTTGACCTATGATTTTTGTACTACACAAACAGAATGAGGTTACTCATTTTCTGAAACACTTCAGGCTCAGCAAGGAACACATTCATTTATATCCAAAAATATGATAAGGCTGGAGTTTCATTTAATATTTTTTGCAGATATGGTATGACAACATTACGTATGGTGCCAAATCTTTTTGGGCAAGGAAAAAGGGTTATTAATGCAATGCAATTATCAAAATACCTAGGATGTTTTACTAGTGTTGTAATATTGAAGATGTTTTTTTTTCTATCTAAAAAAATCCTGAATAAGGTTCTATAGGTTAGACCAATAGGTCTAAGATACCACAGCAAAAACAAAAGACAAGAAGAGTGGTCTTCTCTCTAATTGGATTTTTTTCCAATTTTAAAAATGATCTGCTCAACATAAAAACAATTGTCCATTTTTTTAACTTTTTTAAAATCAGATATGGCATCCTCCCTCATTTAATACAGTTTTACTTCTACATGTGTACAATTCAGTAAGATGAACAAATTCAACTACAAATATTTTGGCATTCTTGGGGGAAGATTTATTTAATGGGGAGAAAGCGCATCCTTAAATTACAATCAGATATTTTAATGTTGCTGTCTGGATTGGCTGGGTTTGGGGATATTGTAGCAGGTCATTCTAAGTGTTCAAATCATACTATGCTGTTTTATACAGCAGCTTTCTAATATCCTTATTTTGCAGAACATTCTAGTTTGCATTAATGTTAATATTTTTGAATGACCCATGATGGCAGGCCAGTTTTCATCTATAAAAAATGTTCTTGATATCCCCCTTATTGCAGAATGGCCAATAAATAACTACAGTATGCAGGTAATGGGAAATCACTTAGAAAGATTTTTTTCTGAAAGAAAGATCAGACTATAACAGATGTTTAGTTACTGCAAATTCGGTGAAGCTCTAGAGACTCTTGCTTAGCTGCATTATTTATTTTATTTTTATTCATAACACTGATGTCAGTATCTGAACACATATCAGTATTATAATACTAGAATGTTCACTAAATATCAGAAGCAATTATTAGGTGTTCAGCTTGCCAAATCACAATTGCCACAGTTATAAAATCATTTATTGTACAAACAAGTATTTGAATATCAAGGCTGGCAGGTGCACCTTAAGTTCTGGTCAGTTTGGTTTTGGAACCGTTTGGTTGGAGATGGCGAATGACCACAACTACAACAGACAGTAATCTGAGGTTTCCCCATTTCACAAACTTGGCCATTTGGCACACATCTCCACAACAAATGTGAAGCACACATGCTCCTTTTCTATGAAAGCTCCCACTCCAACACTCCCCTGCACGCACACACCTGTAAATCATCTTATTTCTAAAGAAAAGACTCTCCTCTCCAACTGCATTTCCATCACTAATCTTCCAAATTTTCAAGAGAAAAATCTAAAAAGAAACGTAAGTAACTGCTTAAACCATTAAACACAGCTCTTGCAAAATTAATGCAATATCATGTAGATGAAAAAAACATGTTCAGAAACAGATAGATTTTCAATTCACCTCTACATTTATATACACTCCTGCTGCATGTGTCTATAATGATCAGGACATTTTGCTCAATTACATCAGACAGCGCCCTCTGAAAATATGGGTACGGATCGATGGCAGAACCTTGGTGTAGGTGGGATAAAAGCAATAGAGAAAGACCACAAAACAAGAATATTATTTTTTCTACCAATCCTGCAACCCCCTCCTCCTCTCCTTCATGCATACACCAAAATTCAGTACATCTTAATAAGCTGTCCTGATCAACAGCATGGTGAACTACACAAAAAAATCAGAAGCTCCATGTCATTTTTGAGCGAAATCTACAAGGAAATTCACCATTCGTAATTCTCATGGAACGGGTTTGATAACCATTCTTTCACTATCAAAGATCAAACAGCAGAACCGTAAGCAGCTAAATGTCCACACGATTTTAAACAAGAAATTAACCACATTCAATGCTTATGTTTAATTATATGGAACAAACATAATTTCTTAAACGTTTGTAAAGTACTCCCAAACTTTTAGCGCAGAGTGGGGTTTTGCTAGCACTAGATGTCAGACCTTATTTTAAGTAACTCAATCTGAGTGCTGATAATTAAAATGGATACCTGGCCAATCTCAAGTTTTGAAACTAGGCGTTTGATAAAATAAGAACCTGCGTTATCAAAAGTGTCACATTCTGTATGAAGGTCTTGCTAAGTGGTCTCGTTTAAGCTTTAAAATTGCTTAAGAAAAGACACTATCAACTTGCATGTCTTGGCTGGGGCTGTCGACAGCTCAAGGTGACAGCACAATAGGTGAAAATCACTGATGTCCACACTGAGGATCTGGATGGGAGTCACCTTGCAGAGGTCTATACTGCACAGCCACATCACAAAGCCTACACGACCTCTGGCAATATTCTACAAGGAAGTGTTTTGGGTTTGTCAAGGAGCTCATCCTGAATAAAGAAAAAAAGCTGGCCCCTCTCCCCTTTTCTGCAGAAAACAAACTTCACAAATTCTGTTAATGCACATATGAATCCCTAGCCTGGCTTCAGGCAGAAGCCAAATTCCATTTCTCCAAGAAACACTTAAGGTGCCTTTCTGCTTGCTTATTGACACTGCCTTCAGGTCACTTTTCATCTTACTTTTTTTCTTTGTTATTTTTAAATGGCAAATTGTTTCCTTATTTATATCCTTTCCTGAAAGGATATCCACTATCCTGAACAGCTACATGCCACAGTAAAATAGGAGATGAAACCGTGTCCTTTTTCTAACAGACTTGGTGCTACAGGGTTTTAATGGTTCCAAACACTTAGCTACAAATGAAACCGAAAACTAAAAAAAGTCAGTCCAAATTCGACTAAAACAAAATCAGTGTTGGTTTTAATTTTTCTCCAGAGAAATTCAAAGAAGTCAAGTTCAAACACTGTAACTATAACTTACTTTGATTCTGTACACTTACAGAAAGGCCACAGATAATCCTTCAGTCGGCATTTGGTTAGACTTGCATTCACTTGGTTGCCTTTACCCAAAAGAACCTGCATCACCATGTTCTCACGTCAATGCAAGTGTGCCTGATGTTAAGTGTTGTTTACACAAAACCATCAACATGAGCAACAGATGTTTTTACACAAAGGGTTGTTGGGGTTTGGAACTAGCTACCCAGCCATGGTATTGACGTCAATACCCTGGATACTTTTAAGAAATGGCTTGAAAAGATCCTCAGATCAATTAGCTAAAATGGTCTGGATAGCCTGAAAGGCCAGCTCATTTCTAACCTTTGTTATATTCTCTTGTTAAGAAGCACCTGTACAAAACAAGGAATAGAAAGACAAGGTCATAGACATAGTAGATCTGTCAAGACATCCTTGGTTTATCATAGAACTTGTTTCATCACCCAATGTAACACAATGGCATTTACACACATCAAAATAGATGTCGTGACATTTCAACATGACCAGACATTACACACAAAAAAAGGTTTGGTAACGTTTTGAATAGCCTTTTGCACACTGAAGATACACCTGTCAAGGAATCACCTATTATCTAGCTACGTTTATACTTTTGTAAGAAGGGGAGAAAGAGATAACACTAACACTAAACATTTTTGCTCTTCACCTGCAAGGGATTCTGTAGGATAGCCTATGTTTTCATTGCAATATGAAAGTGCCTTGAATAAAACACCATACTAAATGGAAAAAAAAACATTTGTTCATGGCCAAAACGTGACCAATGAACGTCTTTCAATACAATTCAAATACATTTAGGAGTACTACTCTGTTGTTCCGTTACTTGTTATACACAATTTACTGATCAATGTTTAGAATAATAGGTTATATAGCATTAATGCCTCCTAAACTCAGAAAGGCATCTCAAAAGATAACAGAGCAACCATGAGCGACGTGCATTCGAGGTGCAGTTGTACATTTGGCAATATACAGCACACGTGGACAGTAAAAAAAATATTATCTTCTTTCTCTCTCGCACCTAACAGTGTGAGCAATTAGAGTAGACTGTTCAAGGTTACTCCCGAAAACAAAATTCCCCCTCCATACAGCACCAATCGGTGAACTTTAAAGTCCAACGGGTTGCAAATGAAGAAAAAAACACTGCCTTTCGTGCGAAGTTCAGTTTGTATGCATTCAGTATCTTTATTCAGACACGTTTACTCTCCCTCTCCATGAGCATCTACAGAAAAGAACTATTCGTTATTACGACTAAAAATGTTGGATCGCGAACTTTTTGTACATTAGGTCAGAAAAGCAATAATGTTATAAAATCCTGCAAAACAGCACGTTTCTAGATGTGCATTTATAGCTGTATGCAAATTATACATACAGACGTTTTGGAACCAGATTATTTTAAAAATGAGCAATTTTCAAGACATAAGACTAATTGCATCAAAACAGCATATATTTAGTTATGTTTAAATAAAGACACGAAGCGGCATTTACTCGTAACACTGTAATCATGCAGTACGAGAATTACAAGCTACCCTTGTGCCTTGCCGTACAACGATGACGTTCTCGTACGCTGGGACAACACCGTTTGCTGCGCTAACGTCAGAACGTCACAATAACAAACGCAAAGCGAGACGTGTAGGCCTCGCGTTAAAATTCCTAAACACGGATTTAAATATTAAAGAGCACGTCTTACAAGTCTGTTCCTTGTCGAGTTATTCCGGTGTTTATACAGTGTTTTGCAATTCTTCTCCAAACCGCGTCCCTGCTGGTAAAGTGGTAAATCTTCTTGCAAACTTGAGACAAGCTGCTCAGAGACTTGCTGTCTAGATAGGAAAGGATGAGATAGAGGACGTCTTCTGGCAGCTGGAATAAGAATAGCATTTCCAATCAGTTCCAAGATTTATTTCTCCTTTCCACGCTTTGGCTTTCGCTTTCTCTCTACTCGGATGGTGTCTCTGGGCGCTTCTATAGCGAATTTGCACCACTTTGTTCAGTTTATCCATCGTGTTTCACAGCAGCTACTCAGCAACAAGAGCTCGGAGAGGAAGCCATCATATTAACAAACTCACGTGTCACATGGCCTGCGCTCGTCAATCAAGATTAACTTATATAATAAGGGCATCAGCAGCATAGAAACGGACAGCACATCGTATTAATTGTATGATTATTTTGTTTTTGACAAATTGTGGTAGCTACTACGAGGTGACATTGCCCGTCTAATAACAATAACAATAACAAAAATAATAATATAATTTAGTGTTATTATACACACTTATAATAATGATGTATTAATAGCCATACTAACAGTGTTTTCTTGGATAAATACGTGTATATGTGGTGAGTTTAATAAAATTCTGAGCAGTCGATTAAATAAGGGTCATTGTATACCATTTAAAGTAATCTCTTACAAACCTAAGACAAGGGGTGGAAATGTCAGCAGCAATTTGACTCATTTTGGGTGCTCTCTCCTCCTGTATATAACATCTGGTGTTGAAGATTGAACTAGTACATTTTGCAAACTCTGACTTCCTGGGAATTAATGTTCTGGTATTGAAATGGTCATATACCCAGTTCTGAACCTGGTACTGATCCTGAAACTGCTGTATAGAAAGCACACAATATGATATGTCTGTTAACTACAAAATAAAAGGTTAAGCGCAAATTTGAGTAGAAATTTCAGGCAGCAGTGGTTAGAGTAGTGGTTAGAGAATAGGAATAGGACTCAAATCCTGGTTGAAAAGCTGATTTTATATCCTTGAACCGAGGTACTTCACTCAGAAAACACCAGTAAAAAGCTTGCTATACAAATGGGTATTCTTTTATTTCATTATTGTAAATGAAAAAAAAATGTTCTGAATTGATGGATTTGGTAAAATAAATTGACATCCATCAATATTCACATGAAATATCAAAATATACAGTATTTCAATATTTGCAGTCATTCATGTTGAATTGATGAAGGCTTTTCAGTAGCAGGCATGTCATTATCATTACTAACAAAGCAACTCAAATTCTCATTTTTGAGGTAAATGTAGTCATGCTTTCAGATTTGTATGTACAAGATTTTGTGGAATGACACTCATAAAATTTAAATATATTTAAAAATATCGTTTGAGAATGCTTCAAATTAAAAAATACAGAGGCAGAAGACAACTTTCAGATGTTACATCATTAGAGAGGGGTTGGGGTGTTAACAAAGGGCCCTGCAGAGTACAAGCCACATTATGGCTGAATTTGCAAGCAACACACAGAACAGGTGATGGACCACTAAAAAACACTTGATTGAAGACATTGTTACTTGAGCAGACATTATTTGAAACAGTTTGACCTTTTTAATTGCAAACTTTTTTTCTACCTTCCTTGAAACCATAAACCTGTGTCGCATGGAGGCTTACTGCCTTTTATTTTCAGAGTTCCCTGTTATTTTAACTGCCAAAAGAGGCCTTAGGTAAGGTGATGGTGTCTTGTGTACTCTGCAGAGAAGGGATTAGAAATGGCAGGGCTGCCTCTCCTGTACAGGAGAGTGGTTTTCCATTGTGAATGGATAAAAAAGCACAGTGCAGATTATGTGGGCATCTTTTCCACATCAAAGAGATGCCGGCAGAGATTAAGGTGGTTGTGAGGGTATAGGAAAACAGTGAGGTGAACAAAGAAATTAAACATTACTGTAGAAAAACAACAGACGGTCAGGTGCTGGAACAGTACTTTTTGAGAAGAAATGTATCCCACCTAAAGCAGCACAATTTCTTGTACTTAAATTTGACAGATTTCTTTACTTAATTTGCAAAAAGACATTTAAACTATGTATTTTTATTATTTATTATTTAGAACTATATACTTTTAGTGGGAGAGAAAAGGCAAAACAATTTGTAAAGAAACACCTCTCAGACAGAGAAGGCTTTCTTGCAAGGTCTTACAGAACCAGATTTAGAATACAAATAAATTGTAGTGAATGTTAAAATTAACATATATAACAAAATCTATCTTCAAATAGTTTTTTGAGCAGCTTCACTGAAACTGCTGCTGAAACAAATATTAGGGGTTTCATTTCAGTTCAACAAATTGTTATATGAAATACATCAACCCTCAAAATAAAGCCAATATGCCAACTAGACCACCATTAACCTGTTGCCTCTACCTTGACATTAAGAAGTCAGACAGACACTGATGGTATCTTTTGTTATACATTGTCCATCAAGGATCAATACATAGTTCCTCTAAAAGAGAACAAAAAAGAACTTATTGATACAACCCAGTCAAACATACATTCTTAGAAACTATGCATGGACTAGCTGTATTTTTATTTCATTTCTGATCAGACATGATGAGATTCACCAAATGCTTCATGCACTCAATCCTTCTTGTATGTGGGGAAAAAATAAAACTCTTCGTTCTGAAGAAGATGATTTACATTGTTTCCTCAACATTGCCCTGATGGGAACTTGAAAACAGTGAAAAACCCACAGAAAATGTGTTATGGTACTTGTACAAACCTTCTGCACTTTTCAGTCCACCGTTCTTTTGAACAGGTAAACCAGACATTTTTTTGGAATTTCCTATTTAAATTAAGATATGTAGGGTAGTGAAGTAATAGGCTCTTCCTATTGCTTCCTTTCAGTAGATTATTTCATATCTGATTTTAACTGTTGGAACTCCTTTTTACTTTTCAGTCTTAACTGCTGGAAAGAGGAGGCCAATTTCATTGCAAGTAGAGATGGCAAATAACTTTGTACAGTGTTGCACACGGTGGTCATGGGTTAAAAAATTAAGAAATTGCTAAGGATGATCGCCATTATTGTTTATTGGTTTTATTCTGGTCTTTCGCTTGGCCTGTGCGTGCGTCTCTTTGGAAATGTCATGCTCTGCTGCTTGTGGCAGGCTGTTTTATGTGCCCTTTCTTCAGCCACCCCCCGTCACCAACACCACCCCTCTCCCCCCTTCGCTCCAAGCCCTATGCCTCCCCAGCTTGTGATGTTTTTGTGTATGACAAGCCCCTCAGCTCTCACTGATGGCTGAGCCCTCCTCATGTCATTCTTCCAAATCGGCATTGTATAACATGTTTTTATATTAGGGCCACAAAAGGCCCATTTGATTTAGGGGGTTATGGTATGTGACTGTAAGAAATGCAGCTAGTTGGTGGCTGCCATTGTTCCCCTAAAGCGACGGCCTGACCTCATCTCTTTCAGCACCAGGGCCTAACCGAGCTCTCACTATTCACCTCACAGCAGCCCGTCGCAGTCTCACTCGCTGAACACGCTCAATTCAGAGCCCTGTCACAGATATTACCTCGCAGGGATCTGAGTGTTTCTTCTTTTCTTGTTTTTTTTTAAAATACCTTTTGCAGGATGAGTCATTTGGGAAAAAAAAGCTATGAAAATCAGATTTTTTTTTTTGCCAGGAAAGACTAAATCTTCCTTTACTTCACCCAATTTAATCTTTCAATGTTCAAGGCCTAATTAACAAAGTCCTTCTGGTTATGTAAGACATATGTCCATGGGATTTAAGACTGGCTGGTATCCATTTACTTGTTGGTGGGTTACTGATTTTGTCCGGGCAAGAGATTTCTATAAAAAATGAATGTTTGACTTATTTTATTGGTTCCAGTGCTTTATAAGAGGGTGTGTCTTTCATCCTCTATGACTTTTCCAAATTGAACATTACTGCTAACTTTGTAAACTCTCCATCTTCTTAATTGACATTAATGCTAAAAAAAGCAAAATATGACCAAGCAAAAGGTTATCTGTGACCATTCAGAGCTGAGGCCTATGTTCATGACAGAAATAAGCTGGCATGGCTTTGGGCTAAATAAAAAAATAAAGGTACAGCAATTATTTATCATGTGCTGAAGGTGTGTGTTACTCCTAACCGCACACACCTGACTATTCTGAAATAGGAGCTTTCCTCCAAAGTACACCAAAAACAAGCTTGTTTGGGCTTTTCACTTTGGCAATGTTGTGCTGGCACAGGGCTTGGAAAGGGGGATCATACAGTACTATCAAAAGACATACAAGCAGTGTTAGGGAAAGTTACTTTTAAAACGTAATCCATTCATCCATTACAGTTACAAGTTACTTTTTGTAAGAGATTACTTTTTTAAATGAATATGGAGCTAGGAAATCGTTTTAAAAAAGTCACCAATTACAGTGATTTGTGTAGTGTGTGTTTAGCTATGTAAAGTAATCAATTTCCTCCTTAAAGCAATTTCCCACACTTTCTTAAAAGTAACTTTCCCCAAAACTGTCTGTAAGTGAAAATGGGGATTTACTCATTAGCGCTGGGTGAGTTCTTTAGTTTTTGCTTTTGTCTTAATGAAATTTCGGAGATTATTAAGGATATCAAGCATATGAAAGAATAAGGAAAGCTTTCAAATGTGCACTCTTTTGGTAGTAGTGACAGTGTTTCTAGCAGAATTAGTAGAAATGGAATAAAAGAGGTGGCAGTAGTATCAACAGAATCTTACCAAATTGTCTACATTGCATTTGTGAAATCAGTAGTTTGTAACTAGCTTGGAATGTTCAAACATGCTATATTCAATAAAAATATTAACCACAAGTAGCATGTTGCCCTTTATAACCACAAGGACTTTTCTTTGTTATGTACAGTGCATTTATAGTCATAAAAAAAAGAAAGCAAATAACATTAATGCATGAACCCTATGGCATCCAAATTATTTCCCTTTCTAAACCAACAATGCAAATCTTCTTTTACATTTATCACACTTTCTTATGCTTATATATTACATTTTTACTTTTTTTATTAAATAAAGCTTATTTTGTTCAATATCAAGATACTTTTGGGCTGTTTTCAACCAATTAGAATTGCTTCATCATTCTTTACCGTGCTGACTGCAGGTCTACCAGTGTTTTATAACAGTGGGTGCCTTCTGAGTGATTGGTTATTATCATTTTTTGAGACATGCCAATACCAACTTGTCAAACTCCAATATGATCCTGGCCTCTTTAAAAAGCAAACCCCTATACTTTTTTGAATTACATAATTTACTTATGGCGACACTACCAGCTGAATTGACAAGACTAAAAGAAAACAGTGAGGTGGGAGTTTCTCTTTTGATCTTTTAAAG